TGGGCTTCATCCCCAGCCCTTTTTCATTTTTTATTTTGAGACAGAGTTTTCTATAATGCTAAGTTACCTGGGTTGTGCTAGAACTTGTGACTTTTCTGCCTCAGCCTCCCAAAGTGCTGGGATTACAGGTTGTACCACCAAGTCTAACATATTATTATGTTTTAAACACTTCTTGAATTCAAATGCATCCTCCCCCTCCCTTCCTTCCTTCCTCCTTCCTTTCTTGTGTGTGTGTGTGTGTGTGCTCGTATGGGGGAGCCTTCTCATTGGGCTACATCTGAGGGCCCTCTCTCTCTCTCTCTCTCTCTCTCTCTCTCTCTCTCATCTACCTATCTTTTGAGACAGGGTCTTGCTAAGTCACTAAATCGCCTCGACTAGGCTCGAAGTTGTGATCTTTCTGCCTCAGCCATTGTATATTGGCATTATAGGCATGTGTCATCATGCCTGGGTAGGTATTCTCTTCTAAGGTTGTATCTCTGTCACATTTCCTCTCTCAAATGTGCCTTTCATATCCAATCATTGTTATATTTGTTGCAACACTTTAAAAAATTCTTCAGATACTGTGTTAAGCATCACAGTTTTCTCCTACCTATCCTGTTTAAAAATATATTGGCTTGTTGTACCTGCATTTGAGATTAAACTTTTTAAATTGGTGAACATTGTGATCTCCTGTGTATATGTGGGCAGTTAAGTGCGTTATTAAGGCGAGATGGTGTTTTGCTCTTTACATATGACATGCTGATGTGAGCAATCTGGCTGCAAAAGACACAACTAGGATCTTCTCTCAGCAACTTTTCCCACATTGTTTCCCAGTGTCTTGATGTACTTTTCAAATTAGACTCCAAGTCCTTTTGGGTCTTGCCTTAATTTCTTTCCCTTAGTAGTAGGAGCATTCCAATTTAGGCAAGCTAGCTGTGTCAGATGACACAGGGGTATTCCATGGAATTTCCTTCTCCTTCTCTCTCCTCAGCAGTGATAGAAACAAGCACCTGTACATGGGCTGGGTTATTCTTTTCGTTCAAGAAAAAAGTTCTGATGACAAATATCAAGGGTAAATATCATTGCAGTAACTGAAGTACATTACTCTTTTTGTTTTATCAAGAAATCATCTGTATTACCGTTGCATTTTCTCTTTTCAACAAGCCTGCCATCCGGCCGCTGTTTCTGTCAACACATCTGTTTGAGAGCTGTTACACTAACCTGTTGTCTCCCCGGAGGATGAGTAGACACAGCTTTCTGAAGCCATGTTGAATGCCAACATTTTTGCTATGTGTTAAGTGGTGAAACTCCAGTCTTCATTCTCTGGCTAACATGGTTTGGGGAAGATTAACCCCTGCTGAACCAAAGGATGCTGGTTCCCATCTTGTTTTGTCACTTTTGTTTCTTCCTGGACAGAAATAGCAAGATTTGAACTCTCTGAGGAGGATAGATCAGGGACTTTGAGACTGAGTCAGTTTAAGGTGAGATGTATCCCTGGGGCTTATCACAGTCCCTCCTGTTCATTACTGGGGGGACAAAGGGCTACCACCCAGATATGCGTCCACAAGTTTAGCTTATACCACATTCCCTCATGATGGATAAGAGGCATTTTCCTGGTGATCCGTGACAACAGCCACAAGAGTCAACAGATAAGAGAATCTACAATATTTTCACTGCTGTTCCAGATGTTAATAATTTCAAGGTTAATATAATGGGAAAAACTAAATTAATTTCTCAAATGAAACCTATTGGTCTTAACACATGTGACAAGAGAAGATAATGCATGTTTCAGTAGAATCATTAGCAGGTTATAAAACCTGAGTAGTAAATAGTATAGTTTTTTTTTTTTTTTTTGTCTTTTTGAGAAAGGGTCTTGCTATGCAGTTCAGGCTGGCCTTGAGCTCACTTTGTAGCCCAGGCTGGTCTCGAACTTGCAAGGATCCTCCTGTCTCAGCCTCCCGAGTGCTGGGATTACAGGCATGTGCCACCACACCTGGCATAAATAGTATAGTTAAAGCTGTGAGAAACTTTTACATCAGCTATGATTTGAATCACCCCGACTTGTGAAACCTTGGAATAGGGCCTTTCAGTGGATGGTCTTGGATCAATGAATTTATGCCTTTTGTTTCTGATCATAAGTTTAAACTTGTACAAATGATTGTTGAAGGCTGAGCTCTTCAGAAGACCCTGAAATAAGGATTCATGTGCAAAAGTGCTTTGCAAGAAAAACTGACAAAGTTCCATGGTCCCACCCACTTGATTCACAAGAGACTCTGGAGAGTGAAGCCATATCTCAGGGTTTGTCCTTGAGACAAGAGAGCTGGAATATTATATTCCTGCACCCATATGATATTGACCAAATCTCCTCCCATGCTGTTGGCCAGAGATGTAACTTCTGACTACTCTCACTTCCTGGGACTCCAGGCAAATTCTCAGTAGCCTGAGATAGTTCTCTTCCTCTGAAGCCTGCCTGCGTGGCAGTAGAAGTGAAGCTCACCAAAGCAGGTAAGAGACATGAGACATAGACATAGACGAAGGAGTCCAAGGAGATCTGGGGAGAGCACCAACAGTGTCCAGTCCAATAGCACTGATTGCACTGCTGATCTGACAAATCTTTAGTAACTTTTATGCTTTTAATGAATTCATTGATGGGTAGCTAGTAGATGGCAGACCTTGGTTTTATAGCATGACCCCAATTTCAGAATGAAAGATTAGGAAGTATTAAACATGCCCAACTCTTAATATTTTTATGTCTCAAATATGCATAAAATAGGCACAGACTTAGTGCTCTTTCACTGACATTGTTTCATTCCATAAAGTGAATACGGGAGAATGAAGGGTACATATATTTTCCATGAGACTCCGTAAAGCCATGTTTGATTAAATAAAACTTACAGATTTATTAAAATGACAAAAGTAAGGCATGTCAGAAGAAATAAAATAAGAAATGGAAAAGTTTTTCTTTTAAGGAATACTTTCTAGAGGTAACCACCTTCTGGTGATGCATCCTATATATTTATTGTTCCATTTATTTATTATTCCATTTATTTAGCCACTGCCCAACTGGGAAACCTTTAGGTTGCTTGCAGTTCTTCACTGGTTCAATCTGCAACAAACTCCCTTGTCCATAGTCTTGTACACAAGGATACAGGTACTTTCTCTACAAGAATACTCTCTTTGAAGGAGGGTTGTTGATTCTGAGCTTCATGCATTAAACACTATCAGAACTATAATCAAAAGTACACCCCCCAGTGGTGGTGCTAATGTACTCTCACTGACAGGGATTAAGTGCCTTTCCCCCACTTGTTTTAGACTTAAATAGAAGAAAAAGAGTTTGTACAGTATATCATCATGTTTGTTGAATTGGCCCCTTTGGTTGAGGGGCTCTTTTGGATGAAAGACATGCAAATCTGATTAATTAGCTTCAATACAGGTGGAGTTTTTAGGAAAGATTAAAATCCTATGAAATAAAAAGAAAGAAAAAGAAAGGAGCTAGAGGGTTGCAGCAGTAGGAGTTTATGAACTTTTCATCTCGTGTTTTTTTCCCCAGCTCATATTTATTGAGCACCTACTATGTGTAGAAGTAACAGCTGGGAGCAGGCGTAAAGTGGCGAGCCAGGTTGTTACAATTCCTGGTCTTATGGGACTTCCAGTCTAGTTTCTACATGTATGTCACAACTCTTCACCATCACCCTCTCCAGTCTCCCTGTTTCTTATCTCAGCTTACTGAGGGGAAATCTAGTGAGCTACTGGGCAGAATCATGACTAATTAGTTCCTTCTAGGTCAGGCATCCATCATCTTTGGTCAGAAGGGGCTACAGGAAAAGGGAGTTGGGTGAGGGGAGGGTGGAGATTTTTATATACCTCATTAAAAAATTGTCTTTATGTCACATGCTTTGCAAATATTCTATGCATGACTCAATTTATGTCCTTTAAGGCACCAGATTCTGAAGATAACTCTAATAAAGAAAAAGCCATTTCATATTATGATAGTAACATCATGTACTGCTCAGGGAATCCAGGACAATTACTGCTTTAATTTTTTTTTTTTTTTTTACTGCTTTAATTTGAAAGAAAGTTCTGCCCAAGTAATTAACTCTAGTTGGTGAATATTGCTGATAACCTTTGAGGCTGGGACCTTAGAGATCAACTAATTCTGCTGACCTATTTTCTAGATGAAAAAACTGAGGCCCAGAGAAGGGATTAAAGATTAAGGTGAGGGCTAAGGATCCACCAATGGCAGAGCTGGAAACGGAACTCAAGTTGTTGTTGCTGTTGTTGATCCCTACTGTTTGTAGCTCCTTTTCTTTTTATATGTCCAACATCTAATCTTCCTTCCCTTTTATTTTCCCTTTAAACACTTTATTCGGTCACTTTTCTTGAGCAGTTAAAGTATATGGATGATTTAAAAAACAGTACATAAAAGTGTATATGGAAAAGTAATTCTCCCACCTCAGCATCTACCCTTAGGGACTACCACTGCTTCTAGCATAACTTTACAGAAAAGAATCTGTTGATTTTGAACATGTGTATTTTTTTGCTATATCATGAAGATTATTTTGTATATTTATAATATGAGCTATCTATATCTTTATTTGTATCCATCCTGGAAATTAGTAAGAATGCAATGGTTAAACTGAGTTTCAGGTTTTTTTTAACTCCCTGTTCTTTTTCACCACTGTGTAATACTCCATTACCCCTTGATATGGAAATACTGTGATTGAATTAGACCATTACTCACTGATAACCAGTTATTGTTAATACTTTTCTATTATATGCAACACCTAAAGGACATTGTGCTACATATGATTTGTCTAGGTACCTGTATAGATTTATTTCTCTCTCTTCTGCTCCATCCAGTCAATTCACGGAATTGTGGAGAGAGAAAAATGTAATACTTTGTACTAACGTGACAGAAGCCTGGATAGAGAAACTGGAGGCAGAATATCTCAGGATTCTTTAGTTGGAACAGGAGTCAACTTGAACTAATTAGCAAAAACAGGAGGAAGGTGAGAGGACTTTATTGGAAGATTCAGGAGAGTTACACAGACACCAGGAACAAGAAACTCAGGAACAAGAAAACCACTAGCAGTGTCATCCAGTGTCTCTTTTTGCCTCATTTCTGCTTCTCTCTGAAATCCCACGCATTTCCCATCCTGCTTCCCAACTGTTTGTGCTCCTCCCCGCACACACAAGACTCCATCCAGCACTGGTCTTCAGCTTGGATTGGTTGGATTTCGCTCTGTCCCAGATGGATGATGGGTACATTTGCCAGTAAAGTGACCTGCATAAGACACGAATCTGAGTCTGTCCCTCTTTACCTAACATCTTTTGGTGAGGTTCTAACAACTACAAAAACAGCCTGCTTCTTATCAAGGCATTTGCGCTTCTTACTCTGACCTTCTACTTGATCTTCATTTACTGTGCTTTCTATTCAAATATCCTAAATTCTGGCCATGGTGAACATCTCATCCTTTCTACATGCACCAAGGATGCATGGCTTGGACGGCAGAATTTGGGAGTTCTGCTTCAGCTCACCCTTTGATTGAGTGTCACTGTGAGGTGCTCATCCTCACAACTGTACGAACAAAAGTAGGAAATCAGAGCCAGAAGAGATTAGGAGAGACAGAAATGTCTTGATCCTGCTGTAGGGTGAAGGTGAACAATTAATGTTGGCTTTACCTTTATGTGAGGATAAGGTCAAAATTGCAATCCTCCTGCTTCAGCCTCCCAGAATGCTGGGATTATTGGCAGGCACTATTACACCCAGCTAAAGTTTGAATTTTTTTAATCAAGTTACAAAGTACAAGGTGGTCCCAGCAAACTATGGAATTTGAGGAGGACATGTAGGGGTAGTACCTTCTGGACATGTCCACATCTCCCTGTGGCTGAGGTGATTATGGCATCTGCAGTGGCCACCAGAGCTGGTGCGGCTTATAGTGCTGGTAGAGTGGGTGCCCCTCAGTCACACAGTGGAGCCCCAGCAGTCCATCACCAGGTCCCCCTGAGCCTGCCAATGTATTGAGTTTGTTCTTTGCCATGATGCTGGACCACTGCTTTCCTACTCAAACAAACAAACAGCCAGCCTTCTTCTACTTCCAGCACTGTTTTGCTGGTCATTCCCTGAATAGTGGGGAGAGCCATCCTTCGAACGTGCAAAGTATTAGTCATATACACTTCAATACCTCAGTGCAGAAGGTGAAAATTCAGCCCTCCCACAAGACCCTGCTCCAGCTGCGCCTCGGCTCCCTGTTGTAACTCCCACCTGTTCTCTGTCCTCCCAGCCTCCGCCTCGCTCATTAGCAGGGATCCTTGTCTCTGTCTCAGTGTAGGCAATACTGTTTGTATAGTTTTCTCTCACTGTTGTAACAAATTATCACAAATTTAGTGTCTTAAAACAAGGAGAATTTATTCTCTTACAGTTCTGGGAGGCCGCGTTTCTGCTTCTCTCCGAAATCACACTCCTTTCCCGTTCTGCCTCCCGACTTCTGCTCCTCTCTGCACACAGGGATTCCTCACAAGGCGTTTCCTGCCCAAACTGACACAAAAGGGGTTCAAACCAGGAAGGTAGAAAGGAGACTATTAGAGAAAAAGAATGGGGTCAGGAATGTTGGGGGGGGAGTGGGAGGAGTGTAAGGAGGGGGAAGCGAACCTAACTATGCTATAGGCATGGACAAATATGCCCAAAGGAAACCTACTATTCTGTAGGACTGCAGGCACTAGTAAAATGTTTAAAAAATGACAAAACCCAGGTGTCTGTAGAGCTGATTTCCTCGTGAGGCTCCAGGGGAGAATCTGTTCTTTGCATTTGCTGGCCTCCTTGTTTTGTCGACTCTTCTTCCATTTTCAAAAGCTTCACTCCAACCTCCACTTCTGTCCTTGCATCTTTTTCCTCTTCTGCCGTCAAAGCTCCTTCTGATTCTCTAAGAGCTCTCGAGATGATGCTCATGGCCCCAAGATCATCCCACATTATTTTCCCCGTCTCAAGGTCTGTAGCATCATCACATCTGCCAAATCCTATTTGCTAGGTAATAGGTTTTGGCCTCCAGGGATTAGCACCTAGAAATCTTTGGCTCAGTGTACCTTACTTGATCATCTGAGCCCGGCCACCTCCCCTCTCTGCCTCCAGGTTGTATGAAATGTGTGAAACTCTTTTGGTTCAGATAGGATACTAGACTTCTCCAACCATAGCATCTATTACTTGTATTATGTTTTTAAAGGCAAAAGTTCGTTATATATTCCATCCTCTTTCTCTGAGTACGTGGGCAGACTGCATTCTCCAACCTCCTTTCTTCTTGTATTTGGACCTTGCGCTGAGTTCAGCTGATGTAAGTGATGAGGATGTTGAATACCACTCCCAGACCTGAGCTCAGTGTCCCTTACTTGATTGTCTGAGCCCTGCCTTCATCCACTTGGCCAGAAGTGAATGATTTCAGGATGGTTTACAGTTCCTAAGCCATCATTTCTTGTGTTAGGCCATCGAGATTCTGGAGATGTTTATCATAGCAGATGACCTATTCTGACTAAGAAATTTGTTTTCTCTCTTGTTACTTGTTGATCCCTAGCCCCTACCATAGTGCTTAGCACTAAGGGAAAATTTAATAAGGGCTTGTTAAGTGAATGAAAAGCAATTGGATTTTGGATGGGGACACAAGGATAGGAAAGGTTAGAGTGAGGAGCTAAAGCAACCCATAATTGTCACTGTGAGAAATAATAAGAACTTAAGCCCTAGCAGTGACAGTGGAGTTGGAAGGAAAGGAAGGCTTTAATATACTCATGGCAGGGGGACTGACTGAATTTGGAAATTGACAAGATATGGAAACTGAGCCGGTTTAACATCAAAGGTCTCCAGGTAAACTGGCTTGGACACATGGCTGGACATTGGTGCGCTCGATTTTCAAATGTCGTTCTGAATATGTGGGTGAAAAGACAGCTTCTCCAGCTCTGTGACCATTACTTCTTAAGTTGCAGTAGCATTGAAGGGTTCCAGTTTTTCCTTGAATATTCTGGCTAGGAAGTCTTGATGATCTGGAGATTTTCATTTTATTATGGCTGGTAGCCATGGGATTTAAGCTGTATACCCAAAGTGGCTATATTCATTCATATATGCTTGTGTACATGCCTCTTTTCCCTGTAAGTTTGCAACTCTTCCCATGAAGAGTTTATTTCTCCACCCTCTGAATGTGGACTGGCTTCAGGGCTTGCTTTGGCAAGTAGAATGTGGCAGAAGTAATGTAGAGCCTATTGTAAGCCTGGGTCCCCATAGGACTTATGTGCTTTCTCTTGCTTTTGTAGAACCTTCCAGCCACCATCTGAAAAGGCCTGGCTAGGTCTGAGGTGTCCAAGAGGGCTGGTGGAGCAAACACCATGAGTTAATCTGGCCAAGACCAGAAAATCCACCCAGAGGGGAGCAGCCTACTCTGTCAACCCAAAGAACTGATATTTAAATTAAAAAATGTTCTTTAAGCCACTAAGTTTTGGGGTGATTTATTACATGACAAAAACTGATAATTCTATATTTAAAGGTGTTTGAGCAGTGTGACAAAGTTTGGAGGAAGTAAACAGCTGTGGAGTTTTCGTCTAATCTCAGCTGATTCCTGGGGACACACCTAGTTAGTCTCATTAATGTATCCATCTGGAAAACACAGGCCTATTTTGGCTTCATGGAATAGCTGGGATTTAAATTATTCAGATAATTTCTTCAACTTCATACTTGGATGGTAAGCAAAAGCTACTGTCAGCCTCTTAAACTAGTAGTCCTAGATTCAGATTCACCTACAACAAAATGACCAAAACTTGGGGTCATTTAATTGCAGTAACTGACTTGCTGATATTTCCCTGGTAGGAAAAATACCATATATATGCACATGTATGCACCAAATCCCGATAAACACAAAATTAATATATACTAACTCTGTAACTACTAATATGAATATAATGTACAACTAAAAAGTGTATTTATTGAACACGTTTCATCAGCCTTATTTTTTTAATCAATTTTCTATGGACTAGTGAAAATTTTAACACATACTGGAATGGTCCTGTGGAGTAGCATCTGAGAATTGCTTTGAAATGTCTTTATTGAAATTCTCTCCCCTGTGTTTCTGAGAACGCTTACATACATTTAACTTATGACTGCTCATTTGTCACCACCCCTGGGAAGTCCTTCTTTTTTGAATAGGAAGAGCTGAGTGTTGGTTTTCTAAGTTCCCACAAGCTTGACCATATTTCTGCTTGAGTTGTCCATTGATTTATACTGGCTACATAACTGGTGGGGCCCTGGGCAAAATGAGAATTCCGGGATCCTTGTTCAAGAATCACATAGAATTTCAAGAAGGCAGCTGTGAAACCACACATGAAACCAACTGTGGGCCCCCTTTGAGCCCAGAGCCCTCTGGGATTGCACAGGCCCTACACTTGTGAAGTCTTTCCTCTGTCTATGTTCTACCCCCACCCTGGATTTGTAAATCCTGGAGGAACAGGACCTTGTCTCAGTCTTCCTGGACCTCAATGCAGTGCTGACCCTTTGTCCCCCTTCAGGTTTCCAAAATTAAAAACCGTTGAGTATTTATTAAGTACTGCTGAGGTTCAGTCCACTGTGCTGGGTACAAATGTCTGTACCATTCTTGGAAAAGGCATCATCTTTTCCCCATTTGATAGATGAGGAAACCAAAGCTCAGGGAGTTTAAGCAGTTATTATAGACTTCCTTCAAGAAAGAGCCAGGGTTTAAACACAGGCACAACTCATGTGTTTTCAGTTGATTTTGCCCCTCAGGAGACATTTGACAATGTCTGCCAAAATTTTGGCTGTCACAACCGGGAGAGGTGCTACTGGCATCTAGTGGATAGAGTCCAGGGATGGGTCAAATATCCTGCAATGCACAGGACAACCTCCCTCCCCCAACTCAGATGTATCCAGCCCAGAACAGTGGGAAAACTTGGTTTGACTCCAAAGCCCATGCCTCCCAAACTTTAGCAGTCAGTACCAGACGCTTCATGTTTCTTCCTTACTTATAAGTAGTATAATGTATTTTTCTTAAATGCCTTTACATTAGTGTATTTAAAAGGTTTAATTATGCCTTACCTCTGCCTGTGAATTCATGTGTTTGATTTTTTTTTTCATATTTACTTATTGTAATAAATATAAAACCTGTAATGGATAAAAGATTTTTGTTGCAATTACTGTCAGAAATCATCCCCTATGTCATCACCAGTTTGAGGGGAGCAAGCTCGAGACCCATTCACTTCTGTGAGACTTTCCTTATCTGTGGAGACAGGAAGAGTAAAACGCACCAAACCAATGTATTTCTGGGAACTGGCCAGGTGCTAGCTACATTTTGCTTCTGTTTCATCTCTTTCTTTCCTCAAGGCTGACAGTTGCTTAGAAACCTCTTTGAAACCCTAAAAGCCACCTGATGAGAATGATTAACAAACAACTCCTTCAGGTGAGGGCCACAGCACACATAATTTATATTTTTTTAAAGGGAGAAAAAAACCAATAAAATCGATACAGAATTTCAAAACAAGGTAGGAAATTAACAATGGTTATTATGTTGCATATTGTTATCTTCAAAGTAGTTGCTCAGAAAAAAAAAGTAGTTGCTCAGATTACCAGGTACAGGCATGCAAAACTGATCAAAAAATATAAGCACTAACGTTTCCTTTCAATGAACTAATAGAAATTAGTAGTACAATGATCTTTTTTGAGCAGATTTTTCCCTTGGACAATATCTATTGTACCTTTTGGATATGATTTACTCTTTCAGTATCGTACACTAGGGAGACAATACAATGTTTACACATGCAACTCTGATTTATTTCATTTATGAGTATGGTCTCTGGTTGCATCCATTTACCTATAAAAACCTTGAGTTTATCTTTCTTTATAGCTGAGTAGTACTCTAATTTATAAAAATATCACATCATTTTTATCCATTCCTTGGTTGATGGATATTTGGGTTGCTACCACAATTTAGCTATTACAAAAGGCACTGCTATAAACATGGGTGCACACATATCACTTGGTATGATGTTTTCATTTCTTCTGGGAAAATACCCAGAAGGTGAATAACTGGGTTGAATGGGGCCTCTAACCTAATTTTCTGAGGAATCTCCACACTGACTTCCACAGTGGTTGTACCAGTCTACACTTCCACCAACAGTGGAGAAGGGTTCCCTTTTCCCCCACAGCCCTGCCACCATTTGTTATTGGTTGATTTCTTGATGACAGCCGTTCTTTCTGGAGTGAGATGGAATCTCAGTGATGTTTTAATTTACATTTCTCAAATGACCAGTGATGTTGAACATTTTTTCATAGATTTATTTGCCATTTTTGTATTTCTTCATCTGAGAAGTCTGTATTCATCTCAGATGTCCATTTTAATTGGGTGTTTGAATTTTTGGGACCTGATTTTTTTTCAATTTTTTCTATGTTCTAGATAGAAGTCCTTTGTCTGAGGGACAGTTGGCTAAGATTTTTTTCCCAGTCTGGATTTTTTCTTCATTCTGTTGGTGATTTCTTTTGATGTGCAAAAAGTT